TGTTATGTTATGTTATGTTATGTTATGTTATGTTATGTTATGTTATGTTATGTTATGTTATGTTGTGTACAAGGCTGTTATGGAACAAGGGGTGTCTAAAGTGATACGAGAAGACCCCTTGGGTTGTATTTTGGCTCACTGGAGATACATTGCTGGTGAGCCAGGGGGAATATTGAATGAGAAACCAGGAACGTAAATGGAGTAATGGGACCAGTTTTATAATTGAGTATCCTAATCATGAGATCAAGTGCTGGGTGGTTGTGGAAGTTGAGGAATTTATTGTTTGATTTGTGGGTTTTGAAGGCACTGGGAGAAACTGTCTTAATGGTATGGGGAAATGATGTGGAAATGCAATTGCTAACAGTATGTGGAAATGCAGTTTTTGATGGTATGTGGAAATGATGTGGAAATGCAACTTTTAATGGTATGTGGAAATGCAGTTGCTAGCGGTATGTGGAAATGGTGATGAGGAGACGGTTGGACTGGATGATCTTGTACGTCGTTTCCAACCTTGTGATTCTATGATTCTATGAAATGTCAACCTTCTGATAAGATGTTCTGTGAAGATTGTGAAGCTGGAGTACCCAGCCAGTGGGGAAACAGGGGAGGGGGGAGGAAGGGGGAGCAAACAGGGTATAAGGGCTGTCATGATGTGTCCATAGGCGCTCCTGCTTGCGGGACGGCCGCCATTGCAATCGCGAATGAAATCTGCTTTTATCAGAGATGCCGTCCTGACAAACATTACTTGGATATTTCCAACAAGCATATTTTGAAACACATTATAAAGGCAGTAAATACCATCTGCCTGTGCAGATCTGCAGCTCAGGGCACAGAAGGCGATGGGGCTGCCTGAGGGCAGGCAGCAGCACAGCCACACAGGCAGGTGGAGAACTCTTTCTCTTTTCTGTCCATTTCTGAGTCTGATGTATTCTGCCACCTCAGACACGTTTGTAAAGTATGTTGTAAATACATACATTTTATTCCAGTACCACAGAATATCTCGAGCTGGAAGGGACCCATAAGGATCACGGAGTCCAACTCCATAATTGGTAGAAGTTACATCCAGGCTTAATGCAGGTCTGCTGTTACTTCATGGATGGACCACTTGGCTTGGTAGTTTCCTGGAGAATGTTACTCTTAGTTATTTTACAACATCATGAATATAGAAGTGTTATAAACTGGAGAAGCCTGAGGTTATAGTGAGCACTTGAGGTGCACTGTTTGCTGCAGCAATGCTTGAGCATTCAGCTCCAAGACTTGACAGACCTTGGGAACATTATATTTCCAATGAGTGTGCTCACTGGTGAGAAAAGAAACACCATTGATGGAGGTTTACATCATTTCCTTGCATGGCCTTTTGCTGTTTGTAACAAAGCACTGAACTGCTGCCCCAGGAAACTTCACAAAGGGAGCTGGCATTACCATTTAGACTTAAGCCAGCCATAAACATCTGTGAAGCAGTCTTTAAGTTGGTTTTCCGTGGGAAAAGACTTACTGGGAGAGATCTGCAATACCAGCAAATGGCTGGCGAATGCTTTGGATGGGATTTACCTCACCTAATTTCACATACCCAAAAGTTAGCTGTCTTAATCTAAGTTAGTCGTTCTGGTCTCTTGCATAATTGATGATATAAGAGCTGACTGCCACCTGCATGTTCATAAAATCATAGAATCATAGAATCACCAAGGTTGGAAAAGACCTAAAGGATCATCCAGTCCAACCTTTCAAGAAAGAAAATAACTCCCCGTCAGGAGTTCATATTTCAGCTGATCATTTCTGAGGTGAAGAGCTTTTAGGCTGTTGTTTTGGTTGAGATGAAATCCCTCTTCCAAGCACATGGAGCAACTAGAAACACAACATAGCATCAGGGAGAGAGAGATGTGCTGAATTAGCCAATCTGTGACTGAGGCTTTCGATCAAGGGCCCTGATGGGCAGATTCTGTCCCTTCCATTAAAACCTGTGGTGCTTTGTGCTTGGTCTTGAGAATGGCCACTGTCTCTTGTGCCAAAAAACTTGACACCCTCATGTGACATGGTATGGGATAATCTGTTCACAGAGTTGGAAGACTTCTCCTAATCCTTATCACAAAGTGGCTGGTGTTTTCTCCAAGGCATGATTTCTAGTCTATAAATGCAGAGAATTCATGGGGATGCTGTGGCCCTTCCTAGTGTGTGCAAAGTTTCAGTTTTATTTCAGCTCTGTCTGGGTTATAAGGCAGTAAGTTACAGTTGTTATGCATTTGGTCCCCCTATTGTTAAAAACTGCTATTTGCTACATTTCCATAATTGTGGAAAATAATGCTGTAAATAATTAAACCAGTGCCAGCTCCCTGCGCAGTGCCCTGTGCAATGCTGTAATCCAGAGGGTGGGATTTGACTTCATTCTCACTAACACGATTGAAATGATGGACTTGCCTTGTACAGCATGAGAAAATTTCTGACTTCAACAGAGCACTGAGTAGCCTTTTCCTCATTCTCCCCAAGCCTCCTTTCTCTCACATATTGAAGGCTTTTTCCTTGGATGCTGTGATGCTTTCTTCAGTCCAGGTGATTTGGTAGGTGCTAGAGGTTACAACTGAAGGAACACATTGTTTGTAAATACTGGTTGTAAACCACTCACTCTGTGGTTGTGCTGTATCCCCCTCACTCTGTGAGGGGATACAGTTTACATCACCCAGGTGGCCAGTGGTGACCAGTAGTCTTCACTTGTCCTCCACAATCCCCTCACTGCCCACAGACAGGCAGCTTCTGCAATTCATTGTGAGAGCAGAACAAAGCAGCTCTGGCCATAGGATGTGCTCCACGATGTCCCTGTGCCATAGGCAAGCTTAGTGTCCAGCAGCTCTAGTAGGCAACTTCAAAAGGGTTATCAAAGGCCAAGGTGAATTCTGCGGAAGCAACATACCCCAAAGAAAATGAGAATTATAGCACCAGCAATACGAAGCCAGGGTGAAAAGCACATCAGGTAAACATTTGACTTGCTGAAGCTTGGACCAGGAGACTTAAAGGCAGGCAGGAGGCATCGCATCAGCTGCTGCAGTTCCAAAAAAGTACAAAGCTCCAACATCAGAACTGGCAGCAAGGCAGTCAAGTTTTCTTTTGGAGAGATAAGTGAGAACGGATGCAGGACTTGCATGCCTATTTATTTGCATGGTATAGTAAATGAAAGTCTATGACTCAGGCAACGCTGCTGTTGTCTCCCCCATCCAGGCAGGTAAGCTTCTGTTCCACTGAGACAGATGCTTCAGATCCTTCCTTAGCCTGTACCAGATCGTTATCTGATGGAGGAATGAGCCCAGGCTGAGCCTCACATTGCGGGGAGGCTAGATGAAGGAGAAAAAACATGAGAACCAGTCATTAATTTAGCCAGACATTCCAGATTTTAAACATATCTAAGTACACAACCCAAACCTTGGGATTTTATTAGCATTTAATATCTCAAATACTTCTACTGGATTGAATGGACTGTTTTCCTTTGTCATCTCATTACATCTTTACTTTTCCTGCCCGCCTTTCTGACAACCTGCAAATGGGAGAACCTCCTCACATAAATCATTGATCAAGTCTGGGACGAGGAGTGGATCAGCCACATCTGGCTGCTTCCCTCTGTGGTTCAAGGAGTTTAGAAAGCAAAAGGTTCCACTCTGAGCTCTGTGACTCGGGGGAAGGGTCTCCTGCATATTGTTTAACTCATCCCTCTGTGCAGTCAATAATCAAGTGTCTCCAGCCATCTCAAATCTTGTTGCTATTAAATCACTATGTTGTATCTATATTATATCAATAAATATACTCTTGCTTCTCCCTTATGAGTGAAGTGTAAAACATAGCCATTTCTATCCACAACAAGTAATTTGTAATCCAAATGCAATCCCTCAGGTTCATTTACCTCAATAGTTTCTATACTACAGCAATGGTGTTTATAGGGAACTTGCATTTTTGCCTGCTCCCTGCTGCCCAAAGCCCTTCCCTCATGCACAGGTTTAACATTTCTTATCATGTAGAAGACACAGAGATCAGGCAGGATGCTGCACATCCCAACATGCTCCATTCTCCACTCATCTGGAATCCTTAAGAACAACTGGGTAGCCACATCCCTGCAGAAGTTCCCCATACTTCATGCCCCACATCCTTTCTGACAACAATAAACCACATGTTGTTCCCAGATGTAAGAGATACTTCTCACTGTCTCCTGGACCGCAGGGTGGAAGCCGGCGACACAGCCAAGGCCCACATCTATGCTTAGCTCTTAACTAGGCCCCAGTCCTGCGTGAAGCCTTCCTAAGGCTCTGTTCATGCAGTACTACTTCAGGATGAGGATCCTCGTTAACATGAATGTTGTATTGCTGCAGAAGCTTCGTACGAGGGACTGCAACCCTCTAGCCTAAGCTTTATGAGTTCTTCCCTATATGGAGATGCTGGGTATACTGAAAGATGAGGTCTCAGTGAATAACTGCCCAAGGCAGATCTAGACTGAAATGGCATGAAACTGGTTTTGACAGCGTCAGTATGCCTCCTTATTTTTGGAAAGCCTTCATAGACCAGCTGCATTCTCAGCTGTTGTGCCCCTGGAGTTGACTGCTTTATCCGTTAATTTTCTAAATGCTCAGTACCAGTTCTTTCTGGCATCTATCCAGGGCATGGCAGAGTTCATGGACTCTGTACTGAGCTTACTGCCATTGATGCTGTAAGATCTCTTGCTCTGCTACTGAATATCAGTGAATTAAACCAATGTGAAGCCCGTGACAGTGTTCAACACCAAGGTGACAGTCATGACAGAAAGGTAAGTCTGTCATCTAAATCACACTATCTTTTGAGTTGGAAGGGACCTTTAAGGGTCATCTAGTCCAACTCCTCTGCAGTAAACAGGGCTACCAGTAAACAGCTCACTCGGGTGCCCCGTCCATGCTGACCCTGAGCATCTCCAGGGATGGAGCACCCAGTGCCTCTTTGGACAAACTTTGCCAGTGCTTTGCTACCCTCACTGTAAAAATGTTTTCCTTATATCTAGTCTAAATCTCCCCTCTATTAGTTTAAAACCATTTCCCCTTGTCCTATCACAACAGACCCTGCTAAAGAGCCTGTCCCCTTCATACAGCCCCTCTTTAGAAATCAAAAGGCCGCTCCCTGAAGCCTTCATTTCTCCAGGCTGAAGAGCCCAAGCTCTCTCAACATGCCCTCATAGGAGAGGTGTTCCATCCCAGGGATCATTTTAGGGACCCTCCTCTAGATGCACTCCAGAGGCCCACATCTCTCCTGTAAGGAGGATTCCACATGTAGGCACAGTGAGGTCTCACCAGCACAGCACACAGAGGCAGAGTCCTCTCTCTCACCCTGCTGGCTATGCTACCTTGGATGCAGCCCACTTTATGATTGGCTTTTTGGTCTGCAAGGGCAGAGTGCTGGCTCATCCCAGCTGCCATCCACCAGTATCAGTAAGTCCTCTTTGGCAGGGCTGTGCTGACAGTGGGGATTGCCACAGCACAGGTGCAAGACTTGGATCCAGTGTGTACTGCATGTATAATGATGTATACTTTCTAGTGAGGCAGCAAATTGCCATCATCTGGATTCCCACCATTCAGAATGACTGCCTTCTCCTCCACGTATGGATATACCTCCACAGCTCTATCTCCTTCCCTCTGTGCACAAAATCTGAGCATTATCAACCTCTGCGATAGCTTTCACAGAGCGCACGCAGCATACTGACATGGACATGTGGCGGTCGTCTCTGTGAAGTCTTTCTTTTCTCTGGCACGTGGTTTTGGCACTGGAGCTCGAACAGGTGCAGGTCGTATCCCAGCATTGAACTGGGAGCTCTGGGCGAGGGTCTTTGCTGCTTCTCTGTAAGGTAGGTTCCCAATGGGCTGCGAAGTGGCCCAGCTGGGGCGAGCTGATGGTTTTTGAGTCGACCCAAGGTCTTCAGTAAGTGATAGCTAGAAAAGAAGACAGTCAGTGTCTTAACAGAGGGGTTGAAAACATTGGAGTCTGTTGAAAACTTTATGAATGATACTCATAATGATGATACAAGCATAACACTGCAGTGACTTGTGCTCTTATCTAAGTTTACCAGGTTGACTCCTTTCTTAACGCACAAATTCTCCCCTGTGCTTATGGTTGTAACTAATCCCAACCTTCCTGTTTGAAAGTGCAAAGGGTGAAGTTTATTTTAACATGCTGCTCAATGAGCGTTTCACTAAACACTATAGAAGTTAAGCAAATAAACACTATAGAAGTTAAGCAAAAAAAGAATCTTGGCAACGTAGTGATTTTTTCATTGAAAAAGATCCCAAACATTGAAAAACACAGTTGAGCAGACCTACAGCTTTGGCTTTTTAGAACTGATACAAATTATTCAGTACTAATAGTGAACCAACAGCAACAAAATCAAACATTTACACTGAAACTCGTTAGAAGGCAATATCTTCAGTTGTGCAGAATGAGAAATTAGTGTCCACAGCAAAACGGTTTTAAAATGGAAAAGTTTTGCAGTTCCTGCCCACCTGTTTCCCCCTTCTATTGTTTGGATTGGCAGCAGCAGCAGCAATATATGGTGCTTGGTACCTAATTGTCTGACAATAAATGAGCAATTCAGCAACTTTTGGCTATCAGCCTGAAGAAAGGCAGGGGATCATACAAGTGCCTAAGGTGGCCCAGGTTCTGAGCAGTACTTAAAGGGTAACAGAGACAGTGTGATACAAATTGCTGCAGTTTTTCTGTCCTCCTGAGAAAAGCACAATACCAAAGAAGCAGTAGCAGCTGCAGCACAGATCTGACTGTAACTTGGTTTTCAGCTTTTGTGTCCTGGTTGGTTCTGTTTTAGAGTTAAAAGGACAAAGAGCATCAAAGCCAGGCTATGCCTTCAAATTAGAATGACACATATAAACTGAGTTTCAATTTCCAAAATATTTTCACACTCAGGAGTAGTCACAGGTGGTTCAACAGGATTTCCTGGATGAATTAATAACATTTGAAATGAGATTTGCAGAATATAGGTGACGTAAATACACCCTGGACAGGACTGTGTCACAGAGCCAAAAGCCCTGGATCTTCATGTGTGATATACCCACATAGGATACACATGTGATCCATTCTCCAAACACCAATTCCCTGTGTATCTGTCATCAGATAATTTATTCCTGACTTCAGATGCTGCAATCTTACCACCTTGGGCAGTGAGGCAAGAATGACTGATCCTGTCAAAAAGATGTTATTTTGTAAGCACTAAAAATAAGTCAGTAATTCAAGAACAGCTGGGAGGGTGGAGCAGCCTCCCAAACAGAAACAAGCAGGCAGCCTGAAAGGCAAAACCAGCCTCTAATTGCTGACATCGCAGTCATTTGCAAAGCTGTCAAAAGCATCAGTGTGATGGATTTTTACCCTTTCTAATACAGTATTTCTGCTTTTTGACATCTAGGGAGGATTTGGCATGATGCTTCCTGTTTTGCTGAAAGCTGCACAAAACTCCTTATTGGAAGTCCTCCAAGGAAGAGCCCCTCACTGTGTAAAGGACACTGGTGTGGCTGCACTGTCACCTGTGAGAGGACCTGTAGGGTCAGAGCTGGGGACTCACAGCAGGGCAGCACAGCTCCATATCAGAAAGAACAGGAGAGATGAAACAGTGGCCCAAAACAAGGGGATCTGGTTTCCATGCCCAGCCTGCTAAAAGCTCAGCTGAGTCAGTGAGCCTTTCTTCACTTTGCTTTGTATAATACTGGGCAGTAGCTGCTCAAGGTGGTGTAGGCAAGCCACAAAGCCTTGATCCAGCAAAGTGCTGAAAGAGATAATTAACAGTGAAACTCTACTTGTCTTTAGTGTCAGGCATTTCCCTCCATAAAGATAGAGCAGGCATTCCCATCCCACTGTGGAGATACAGTGGTTGCATGCATACTCATAAGAAGGAAAGCAGCCCTTAGTTCAGAGACCTAATTAAGTTAATTTATTGTAACACATTATTTAAAGTAATTTAGATAATTCACGTTAATTTATTGTAAATTAAGTGTAAGCCTGGTCACATTCTATGCTACTATTTCCATGATTACTAATAAACTCCAAAACACCACAAGTTTACGAGGAGGAGACCTGATTCACCCTATACAAAGCTGGAGCCGGCGGATTCAGGTCATCACTTTAATTACATGTTTCTTCTGTTTTGCTGTGTTGCTGTTCAGCCTCCTGAGCTCAGAGCTCTGTATAATGGCCCTTTTCACATCTTCATTGTTGGCTGTAATATACTTTATTCTCGTCTGCTTTCTACACTTGAATCATTGATCTATTTAAGAGCTTCACTTTAATTTGACTTGATGTTTGCATGCTTGGGGCATTTATTCTTTCATCATATTCTGTCCTTCTTCTGAGGATTTACTAAAAGGTTTGAATATTAAGCTTCTTTATTTGGAATTGATTAAGTAAGAGTCTTTTCACAGGTCTTAATTTCAACAAGATTTCCTTAATAAGAAATGGAAATTAATTCTAGATGATTCCTAGTTAGCTATATATTCTTTTTTCTATGCATTAGCCCATTATAACCTAACTTTTGTTGTCACGTAGCTCTGTAGTCATTAATGGTCAGTGAAACAGAAGGATTATACACTGCACTACCAAAAGAGGACAGGAAACACAGCTCTTCTACTGAAATTTGTACTGCTCGAGAGAAATACAAGTCAATTTTCAATGTAAAGGTCTAGGAAAGAGGGACACAGCATGGACTGCCCCAGATTTTAACACAAAAAGAAGATAGTGCTACCAAGATTGCATAACACGAACACACAAAGTTCTGTTCTGGGCTAATGTCACAGAGCTGTGACCACTAGAGCTGTAGGGTGCTTACCCCTGGGTCAGGCTGTCCTAACTGCCTATGAGGCACCGAGGGAGGATGGTGGACCTGGCAGGCCTGAGGCTTTAAGAATCTCCTCAGAGCTTTTTGTGGGCAGAGAATTTAACATCCCCATTTAGTGTCAGCTAAATGCTTCCTGGTGACTATTTGCTACGGAAAAAATAATGTCTCTAAAGCTACTGGGGTATCAGGGCCAGCCAGCATGGGTTCACAAAAGGCAGGTCCTGCTTGACCAACCTGATCTCCTTCTATGATCTTCTGACCCATCTGGTAGACAAGGGAAAGGCTGTTGACATGGTCTGCCTAGGCTTCAGCAAGGCCTTTGACGCTGTCTCCCACCTTATTCTCCTGCAGAAGCTGGCAGCCCGAGGCTTGGACAGGTGCACTCTTGGCTGGGTAAGGAGCTGGCTGGAGGGCCGGGCCCAGAGAGTGGTGGTGAATGGAGCCAAATGCAGCTGGCGACCGGTCGTGAGTGGTGTTCCCCAGGGGTCGGTGCTGAGGCCTGTCCTCTTCAGTATCTTTATCTTTACCTGGATGAGGGCACTGAGTGCACCCTCAGCAAGTTTGTGGATGACACCAAGTTGGCTGGAAGTGTGGATCTGCCTGGGGGTAGCGAGGCCCTACAGAGGGATCTGGACAGGCTGGATGGCTGGGCTGAAGCCAATGGGATGAGGTTCAACAAGGCCAAATGTCAGGTCCTGCACTTTGGCCACAACAACCCCAGGCAAAGCTACAGGCTTGGGGCAGAGTGGCTGGAAGACTGTGTAGAGGAAATGGACCTGGGGGTATTGATTGATGCTCAGCTGAAGGTGAGCCAGTGGTGTGCCCAGGTGGCCAGGAAGGCCAATGGCATCTTGGCTTGCACAGAAAAGGTGCTGCCAGCAGGAACAGGGCAGTGATTGTCCCCCTGTACTCAGCTCTGGTGAGGCTGCAGCTGGAGTAGCGTGCAAGTTTTGGGCCCCTCACTGCAAGAAAGATATTGAGGCCTTGGAGCGGGTGACAAGACTGGTGAGGGGTCTGGAGCACAGGGCTTATGAGGAGCGGCTGAAGGAGCTGGGATTGTTCAGTCTGGAGAAGAGGAGGCTCAGGAGAGACTTCACTGCTCTCTATAACTACCTGAAGGGAGGTTGTAGTAAGCTGGGGGTCGGCCTCTTCTTTCGTGTGACTAGTGATAGAACTAGAGGGAATGGCTTCAAGCTGCTCCAGGGGAGATTTAGGCTGGACGTTAGGAAAGACTACTTTTCTGAAAGAGTGGCCAGGTACTGGAATGGGCTGCCCAGGGAGATGGAAGAGTCACCGACCCTGGGGGTGTTAAAGGACATGGTTTAGTGAGAAGTATTGGTGATCAGTGGATGGTTGGGCTGGGTGACCCTGTGGGTCTCTTCCAACCTTGGTGATTCTATAATTCTATGATCCTATGAGCAGCCAACAGAAAGTGACACAGGCATAAATACAACTTGACCTTGTACTGCTGCAATTTATAGCAAAAACTGATGCTGAATTTATAAAAGAGGGTTTGGGATTCACACTGGGACTCCGACTAGGTGTTTCCACCTTCTAGTTGTGGGCTGCAGGTTAAATAACTTTAAACAAGTTCCTAAACCCTAGGGAAAGAAAAAAATCAGCCCCCACTTTCTAGCCTGAACTAAAATTCTTTCACTCTGTACTGACAATAAAACAGCTTTAAATCTGAAATGAGAAGCCATGGAGGAATGAAACTGTAAAGTCTCTCTGATCTAAAGGCTACAGAGGAAGCCTTTGGAGAATGGAAATTTTAAGACACACGTTGAATAACTTTAATAATATTTCTGTTCTTTAACACTGACTGAATCTATTTCCTTTCAAAGAGGCTATATATGGGTCAGAAGAATACCTCTCAATCTCCAGAGACAATGCTTCTTTTTTATGTAAACCTTCTTTGGTTCAACTCACATGCTGTTCCCTGGCTTTCATTGCTTGGGAAACACGCTTCCAGGTTTGCGAAAAGCCCTGATACGCTTGCAAGCACATCTTTCTTTGGCAGTTATTTGCTACCCTATCTACAAAAGCTAAACCCATGATGCTTTCTGGAAGCCTGACTTCCCAAGACTCCTTTCATGTGAGGATGCCCTATTTTACCAGCGATAAGCACAATGAATCCTCAGTATTAAGACCTTAGGGCTGCTTGCCCAGGCACAGTGCAATGAACAAAGTAATAAAAGAGCTTCAAACTGCAATAATCAAAAGTTGTGGAAATGGAAGAGCGGCTTTGGGGAAAGATGCAAATGTCATGAGAGAACTGATCCAGTGGAAACTGGCTGTCAGGATACCATGGAGTACACAAAGTGAGGAAGGAGCAGATAACAGGATCAGTGTCTACACACAGACAGTTGCTGTCCTTTTTTCCCATTGCAGGTGGGCTGTGTCTAGGCTGCAACGAGAAACTGCCCCTGGAGCAGGCAGATGGGGCATGATTTGCTCCTCCTTATGGCCTTATTGCTACCGGCCAGATAGGCAGCATGTGTGCCTGGCAGCCTGCTTGCAGTCAGGAGCAAAGTTTCACTGTTGCCTAAGTTAAGTAAGTGCTCTCAGCTAAAATATTCCTGGGTGCAACTGACAACAGACTAATATAATTACAACCCAGTGATACTCACCAGTGATGTTGATTTCTGGAGTTTCCTAGATCCACAAACTGCTTTCTTTTTTTTCCCAGCTGCTTGCTGGCTAAGGTCTGGGGTCTCCCCTCCTCCTTTCTTTCTCCTGCAGAGTAGAACAGAATAGTATTAACAAATGCTATGGAGTTTGTTCCCTGGGGTGGAGAAGAAGAAAATTCCTTATGATAAGCCACCCGAAAAGACATGGTTTGAGCTCATACATTTTATCTTGTACCTGGGGCAGACCAAGAGTGCACAGTCAGTTCTGTGGCTCAGAGCAGCTTGCTATTTTTTAAATTTTGATAACTTCATAGCATTCAAATGCATGTACTTGCCTTGACACTTATGGATATATGAACACATCACTGGGTAAACACACAAGGGAATTCACAGAAAGGGAAATTTAGCTAAATAATGTTTGAATTTTTAATTTAGTCCATGTAACTTGCAACACAAACAGGGTTAGAGGACTTGCCTTTAAACAAGTTGTTCGTCTTTACTATAGCCAAGTAGACTTTCTTATGAATTTAAATGATTTTATTTGCAGCTATAATTAACTTTAATATGATAGCAAACAGAACAGGCATGTTCCAGAGAGTGAAAATTAAGTGAATATGGCCAACTGTCATAATACTCCAGTATCAGGATTAAAATGAGTACTATAAGAAGGTTTTTTTAGGAATTTGGACAGGTTCACAAACACATTTGGTCTGAAAGTATTCATTCCCCTTCCACATTCACATTCTGCAAATCACAGCTAAGTTTACAGGTTTAGTAAATTTAAAGCAGCTACTAGTTTGTGCTCTGTGGGTTCACCTCCCAGCTCCACCACCAGCATGTCTGGGCTCCTGGAAAGCATGCTAAAAATCAAATAGTGAACATGAAGTCATGAATTCACTGGGTGGAAGCAAACCTTGAAAGCAACCCTCATCCAACAAAGAAGCAGGGCTGCACTGCATAACGTGCACATCCTCACAAGCAGCCAGCAGCAGTCTGTTATTCACTAGTCCCAGACCAGCTGCAGATCAAAAACCATCAAGACAAATCAGACAAATTATTTCAAATAGCAAATTGAGGAAAATTGCAATCTCTTTGTAAACACTAACATCAGAGAGAGAGAATTCAAGCCTAAATACTACAGGGAACAATGTGGTCATCTTTAGATAAGAAGGCAGTCTTCTGCCAAAAAGAATCAGCATAGGGAAGGCTCTCCACTCATTGTTACAGCTGGGAGTGTTGTAAGAGTATAAGGAGTGGCTCTGACTCCATTCCTGATAGTCCAGTGGCAGCACTGGAATAAGCCCATCCACTCAGAAAACAAACACACTGATCCACTTATGCAGGGAGAAAATACCAATATCCTGTCAAACCTTGGTTTATGGTCTCAGATTAAGAGTTTAAATTCTACTGCTGTATTCTAAAGTCCATGCTCCTGGGGTCAGAGCATCCCCCTGTAGCAGGGCATGATCTCAGCCCACAGTCAGGACAACGAGTGGTGAGGATGGAAGACACTGCAAAGGAAGATGGATCACAGCCGAGTAGGGCAAGGCAGCTCTTGCTCCAGTGCTGAACTCAGTGCTTCCCACCCTGCTTTTCTCTCCCAAGCAGTGTTTTAAATTCCCACGAGTCCCACAGGCAGGGAGTATGGGGCTGGCTATTCAGAAACGTGAAAAGCAAGACACAGGCGTTGGGATGCAGAGGACGAGCGAAACATCATGCCCTTCTCACACAGCCCAGCCCCGTTTTGTCAGAAACTGGGCCTAGGCTGCTGACAGAACAATTACTGAAAGTAATTATTTTCTCATTGGGTAAACATTTCAGCACAATATGCAACTGTTTTTAGAGCCTGCCCATGTCCATAAATTATCTAAGTGAATTAGCGCTAGAAGGCAGGGCTGGCTGGGGGAAGGAGCTTTCATTTTGGCTGAGCTGTTGTCATGAGAAGGAGCAGGGCTCTTTCTCGAGGCACAAGCACACAGCCTTGGCAGGGGTCCAGTGCTCAGCTAGAATCAGGATTCATTAGTCATGATAAAGTGGGAGGCAGATCTTTTGATTTACTGGCACCGAGCAGCACCATCACCAGATGCCTTCCAGCAGAACTGGATGTGCACAGCTGGAAAGGAACGCCCCTCCTGCTCAGAATCCCAGGGAAAATTTGCTACTGTGGTCCCAAGCTTTAGATAAAAATGCTTCATTTCACCTTTGGGGTATTGCTTCGTGTTCCCAAAGAGACAAATCCGTTGCTGGTCTCTGTTTGCACACAATGGAAAAAACTATCTGGATAATTCAGGCAGAAAACAGACCCAACAGAAATCACCCTTGTGATATATTGCTCACAGACATGCAGCAGCACTGAAAGCCACCACTATAACTCTAGCAAGTGATTTTGATAAGGCCTCCAGGCAATTTGTAACTCTACCCCTGTCTGTATCTCCTATATCTCCTCGTCACTCCCTCGACCACGCATCTGCTCATCACTGCTGTTGATTTCACTGCTCAGAGACTGAGCTTTTCCCACACTTGCCCATCTGAACCAAGAAACGTGTACTGATCATACTCCAGGATTCCCAGCTCCTCTAAAGCTGCAGGGATATTTGTCATTGAGGTTCTCAGGTACCATTTCTGATGCTTTCCTGAGCAAGCAGCAAAAAAAATCAAAGCATCAGAAAAAAAGAAAAAAACAAAACAAAACAAACCTGCTAAGACTCAATTATCATCCAGATTGCAGATTAACCTCATTTTACCATCTTTCAAGCACTATCTGGCAGTGGCCCAGTGTTATAATTCTTCTTCCCATTGACATGAAGCACCAGCCCTGACCAGGCAAAACACCTACCAAATTGTTCTACAGAAATGTGTTTATTTACTTCTTCAAAAGTAAATACCCAATTATGGTCTCATAGGCCAAAGTACATGTTTTGTTTTACATCTCTTAGGACTCTTAGTCTAAAAGTCTTCATTTAGACTAGATATTGGGAAGCAATTCTTTACTGTGAGGGTGGTGAGCCACTGAACAGGTTGCCCAGAGAGGCTGCAGATGCCCCTGCATGGAAGCATTCCAGGCCAGACTGGATGGGGCTGTGGGCAACCTGAGCTAGAGGGAGGTGTCCCTGGTTATAGCAGGGGGTTGGCACTACGTGAGCTTAAAGATCCCGTCCAACACAAACTATTCTATGATTCTATGATTTTATGACTCCCTTTGACTCCACTCTCCTGCATAAGTGAGAACTGGCTGCTGCTTGTCGCACTTCCATGCTCAGTTTTTGGCTAAGCAAGGAATTCTCTGCTGTGAGTAGACAGCGGTGTGGAGGTAAAATGGAGGAAGGGAGTTGTAGCTAAGGGTTCCTCTGCAACAACCAACAAAGAAACAGAGGATGACTCCACCATTTAAATGACAATATTTTGGCTTCAGAGTTGACACCCTGTTACGATGCCCAGGAGAGTTCTCTCTTCTTTTTGGACCAGAAAGCGAGCATAGAGAAGATTTTTAGTCAGTTCCAGCAGCTAGGAAAATCTTTAATTTTTTTGTTACCTCTTAAATTCTGCAAGATTTAGCCCAGCATTAGGCAGATTGACTTTGATTCAAAGAAGTAGCCAGTGACTAGTCTCACACACCTCTTTGATGATGGCGTCAGGTATTCCTTTGATGTAATCTTGTTTGTTCACAAAGGATTTTCTATAAGTTCTGTTTTTCTCAACACAGCAGCAGACAGATGGAAAGAATGGTTTATTTGTTCTCAGCCATCACTTGGGCTGTTTCTGCTAGCTCTGCTGCACCTTTTCACCCATGCTTATAACCTGCCCCAAGAAAATATTTGCCCCTCCCTACATGCATTCAGACTGCAGCAAAGATCATTACCTCTCCCAGACTACCACTGCAAAACCCTGTATTTTAGGAAATCACTCCCATTGTTTTAGGAATCTCATTTTACATAGATTTCATTGCTTCTGACATATAGTCTACACAAAGAGTGGATGTTACTCTCTTGAGCTCCAAGCATTCATCTAATCTGAGAAATAACTATACCTAACACAGCCTAGGGGGTCAGAGATCTTTATCTCATTTCTCTGTTCTACTTTACAACCCTGTACACTGGTCAGGCAGGGTCTGCCTGAGCCTGTAGGCTGCAGTATGATGGATCAGCTTGCATAGCACTCACATTACCTTTCCTTGCTCAGCTGACTAGATACTCACTGAGTGCAACCTTCATCAGCAGAACAAAACAAAGCTTGGCATTACAGAAGGGCTATGAGCACTTTACCATTTTGTGGCCACTTGGGTCTCTTACCAAGCTGCCTGCTTGCTGTCATTGCTGCTGCCATGGGAGGAAAACACAAGCCTGGAATGGGGTGTCCCACCAGTCCTGCTGCAGACAAGGAGCAGGTGAGGTGCAGGAGACCAGGTCCCCATGCAGCTGAAAGGATGGAGGATGCAATACAAAGCCTTAGTGGGAGGATTTCTGGAAAGGGGCTGCAGAGGGGACACTGTCTACAGAAACACCATTACATGAGCAGGTAGCTGGGTCAGCACTTGAAACAACACACCTGTATTGCTAAATAAGAGTCATTACAGGCAAGACTACACACTAGCAATTACTTTCAGCTTAAGTGATATTAAAGGGAGATCCTTGATAAACAAGTAAATCTCTTAGAATTCATTTTTCTCCTTGCTATAATCCTCTGTAATTACGGATAAAAGCCAGATTTGCTAGATCACTAGGCATTAAAATATCCTCCATTGCACAAATGGATAGAGGCTCAAATCTTACTTAGGAGAAGAAAACAGTCAGTATACTGTATGATTAGCAACTCAGAATCATTTGCATCTGGTTGTCAGCTGCATCTACAGCTCAGTGCTGGAACAAGCAACTTCCAAACTCTTTGAACAGGGCCTGTCCCATTTTTGACACTGATTCATGACCAGCACATGGGAACCCTAAACCTCACGTAAGTCTCTGGAACAGGCTACATAGGAAGGCTTCACAGCTGACAAATAATATTGGAGCAACTATTTCAACAAGAGGCATTCTGTCAGAATATTTTGTTAAAAGCATCAGAGAACTTTACCTAAAATGCTGGAGTTTGGAAACATACCGCAGAAAGAGGGTGAGGTGAAAGCTGGAATGCTCTTTGAAGTAGTGCAGTATCCCAGGACCAGGGGACGCGGATTAAAAAATGATTCATAAAAGGCTTTTGCTCACACACTGGGAACTTTGTGGAACACCCCGGAGGAGCGGTGGGTCCAGCAAAGTTAATCACATTGAGAAAGAACCTCTGCAAGTGCACTTCTGCTTAGCCAAATAATCACTAGGCTGGGGTAATTTGTGGCTTGATTGTTCCTGTGCATAGTGCTCATCTCAGCAATATCAGTTATTTACTTAATGTACGACCTGGATACATTCATTGTGGATTAGGTGGTTCCCAAGGCTTTTGTTGGCACAGGGAAGAGGAATATCCTCCTCTGTGCATTTTTGGTTGGGTGAGAATGTGCAGTCCTTTTTACAGGTACTCACATATGAAGGAGGCAATGGTCAAGTTAATCCACTATGTCTACACCAGGCTCAGACTAATGATAATGCTACCACAGTTTCACAAGTTACTGCACATCAGCTGAATGGAGGCAACTGCTGAGAGCATGTCCATGAAAAAAAAAGAGAGGTGGCAGAGCCTTAAATGAGAAATGGACAAACTCCTTTGCACTACTGCCACAGTCTCCTTGCTATTGTGCCTCATTTGCTTGTGCTTGCCGAAATCTAACCACAATCCTGAGATTCTGAAAATACCTTATGCCAGATATGCCAAAGGAAAGAAGTCAATGTGCAAGACTTTGCTCTGGGTTGCAGAAATACTTTCTTTTGTCAGCTGTTGACCAGGTAATTCTGGGAGCCTACGAACTGATGGATCTAAGCACTCCATCCCAGCTAGCGTAGACACAAATCCTACTCTTACTTGCATATCATGTGGAACATATACACACATACATGCTCTAATACCTGCACTGTCATTTGAACATCTAAATCTCTTTTCAGCCAGGATATCCTTGAACTGATAGAACTGTATATCATCATTCATTTTTCTTTTGTGCAGAAATTGCATATTCCTCTCAACTTTGTAGCTTAGAAAACTACAAGCCTATTAAAAAAAATCTTGAACAATCTCTTGATCTAATTCTTCCCCTTACAACTGTGTAACCTCCCCAGGAGCTACAGCCTGTTTTACAGGCAGACACTAACAAGATCTACCAATGCACAGTGCTGAAAGGACACAAAGCAGTGAAGCTGCAACCAGAAGAAGATCAAGAGCAATGCGAGAAAAGGCAGAAAGGCAGAACAGTGCGCTAGCTTGGGTTTGCAGCCAAGCTGGAGAGCTACAAGGTTTCCAGGCAGCATGAAGCACAGGCAGAGGGAACTTGCAAAGGACACAGACATACTCAATTAGCACAGAAAAAGCAAAAGGCAGAGACAAAGCCTCTTACGCCTGCCTGGCCTGTTCGATGGGATCGTAGTTGTTCAGGCAGTTGAATCGCATGATGTCTGTTGGGCACTTGTCCGGTGAACGCCAGGGTGGAATTTCTTTTTTCTTCTTTCTAGTCTTCTTTTCTGGTGCAGAACGTTTTCCTTCTGGAGTGTTACTTCTCACTTTCTGCACTTCAGGAACTATGGACTCATCCTTCGAAGCAGTCTAATGAGAGACATTAAAAGAAGAAAATTAATTTTATCCTTCAGTGAAAATGTGATTAATTTTACCTGACCTCAGATTTGTAAGAACTAGGTATTAATTCACTGGACAGAAACAGGCACCCTAGCAGTGCACGTCCCAGTGCCCACTGCACTTAGATGGGCTGAGTTGCATTGGCTTCATCCACTGACCTCAGAGACAGCCTACGAGGGAGTTGGCTAGAGGTCTGAGTTTTTGAATAGAAGGCAGAAGATTCCTGCCTTCACAGTCCCACAAACAAGGGGTCTGGATCAATGAATCTCAAGAGAAAACAGTTGCTACTGAGTAATGCTCCACTTCCCCAAAATGACCCTGCCACCTTTGAAGAAGACAGGATGAGACAACACGGAGCCTATAACAGGCAGAACATGTGGTGTTTTTTAGCTTTCCACCAGCTAGACTGACTCTGAAACTTCAGCAGGGGCGATGCTGGGCTTCCCACTCCTGCTTATCAGATTGACGTAGGCTATCACATTCCCTGCAACCTGGAGATGAGAGGGGAAAAGCCTGGAGTGCTGGAAAGAGAAATTTGGAGGATTACTTCAGAATAATCTGAAGAGAGGACAGGAGGAGAGGGAGACCTTGGTGACTGCTTCCTTCCTAACCTCTGAGATTTTCGTTCCCCCTCATCCTTACCAGGGGTGGATGAGAGAAGGCAGACCACATGGCAACACATGAGTTTAGATTCTAATTTAAAATTATGTATGTTCCTTCTTACTAGTGGGAGAAGGTAGTAAGTTTAAAAGTTAGTAACTCTATTAGCCCAGAGTATATATATTATAACTGGCGTGGAACACCTCCAGAGGTGGTAAGCACATACCTTTGGTCTTGTAACACGCAGCTCTTTCACCATTTCAATGTAATGTCTCTTCCAGATTCCTTGCTCAAAGGGGGTTGGAATGAAGTTGATGTACCAACCAAAATGCAAGCATTTCTTCATCCAGAGCTGATCCAGTTCAGACAGGTTCTTCCAGTGCCAGCTCACCTGTGGATGACCAGTAACCACATATAAGAGTAGATCAACATCTTGGGGTTTCAGACATCTCAGATTACAGCTGGAGATTTATCTCCCCTGGATGCAGCTCCTTAAACTAACACTGTACTTCAGTGCTGTTTGAACTCCATGTAAACCCAGATTTCCTCATGATCTGCTCATTGTTTGTTGGCTGATCTCCAGTGCAGGGCGAAATGCTCTGAAAATCACTAGTCAAAAGGAAAGACTTCAGCTCACTTAGGGCAACTTCCTGCATTTCTACCCAGTAAGTGCATAGGAGTTGGAACAAACCCTTCATTGCATTTTGCTGACAAAAACAGAAAAATAACCCCCCCAGGTCTGATAGACACATTCAGTTTTCTCCCTACTCAGGTTCTGCTTTTATACTCCATTGCACAGTCACCTTGCATGCAATACTTCTTCTAGCCTAAGGGCAAGCATCATCTATTTGCACAATTGTGCTTATAACAGCAAATATTCAATGACATGACAGAAGTAGCACTGTAAGGACCTTCCTTTCTCATACCCTAATCTATTTTCTCCCTGTCTGTGCATGAATACCTGTGGTTCACCTTCATAAAAAATGAATTGTTGGAGAGAAATACTAGAGAAAGCTGAGATTTTGATGTATTAGTATACGTATTAGTAGTAATATATGGTGTACTATGTTTGTTAGTGCAGTAATTATGTCACCCATATTTGAGCTTATTCATTCAGAACTAGCTTGGGGAACACATTAGCAGATGGAATCCTTAGACAGTGTGCTCAAAAGCACCTTGATAACTTCTCTGCTTCTGCATATCCAGCACTTCACCTTCAAGTATTTTAATGGATCTGGTTTTTGCTATTTTTCTTAAAGCAATGTATGCACTTCTTTACAACCACCATGGGCTTCTTCAAACAATTAATGATTCTGCACACTGTGCAAAATACTTTAAAGAACATGGTTTGCAGAAAGCGCCAGGCCTTCTTGAGAACAATCAGCCTTGTAAAGGGCCACATATTAAATGGCTTAGCGTTGAGCTCCCAAAATTAGTCTTCACTTTCATAAACATTGACCAATTTGATTTAATTTAGGATCTGGGGAAGTGCTGTGTTCTATCTTGTACGAGTGTCACTAAGCATATAGCACCAGGGTGCCAGGTCACAAGGCATTCTTGCGTTCCCACAGCTTTATTGTAACCTGGTTCTGTTTCTTGTTTTATCTTTCTTGACCCGACTTTCTGAATCTTAGCATGTGTTGTTTTTTTTTACCTGCGCACATCGACAGAGACTCCGTGGGTCCAGAAAGGAGAAGATGTACAGGGACAGAACTCTAGGAAGCTTCACGGTAAAATCTAGAGCTTCGATAGGAATTCGATCTTGTAGCTTCTGGGCACAGAATCTCTTCAGGGACAGGGAGCAGAGCTCCAACTGATCCACCAGGATCTTCTGTCTCTGAGCGTCTGTCCACTTGATAAACTGAAAAAAGAGTTCCAGGTTGTGAGAAACCGGAGATCCAGCTTGTTAAAATAAATCATACATGTAAGGCAAGGGAAGGTGTCCAAACAGCAGCTTTTGGTGACTCACTCAATAGCAAAGCATGTAGGAACTGGGAACAAATGGAGAGGCTACATTAAAAGAAACTCAGAAGCCACATAACGTATGATTTATAATCCTCAAAGGATCCAGGATGACCTTGTCCAGGACACAGTCATCCTCACAAGACTCTTAACACCTAGGATCAGTTTGGAAAACTTGGCTTCAGTCATTAAAAGAAGGAGACTCAGGCGTGTGTTTGCAGGATTGGGTCCTAAGTTGACTGCTGCTTCCTCACCTATCCTGACCCATATATGGCCCCCAAAACTGCAGTATTTGAGTGCCTCGCAATTTGTGAAGTATTTATTCCCACAGTCTGCATAAGAGAGAAATCCCCACTGCCTGCAAAGAAGCAGAGCAAAGAGAAACTACATCAGTTGCCTGCATCTCCCAAGGAAAACGTGACACAGACCTGGCAGCACAGTAAGAGATTTTTCATGGCATTTCTGCGCTTATGACAGATATCTAAAGAGGAGGAGGAAAACAGCTGGACCTCACTGTGGGAAGAAATGAGCACATAACCACACAAGCACGTATCGCTTGATACAACAGCAACAACGGCACTGAGCAGAGAGGAGGAGAGCTGTGTAAACAGGGTGGGAGCAACGGCAGCCGTACCTGGTGTTTAGCCTGTGTTGACAGCAGGGGATGGAAAGGGCCCTGTCAGCAGGAATCTCCTGGGAGGAGACTGACCTCATTGCCACAATCTGTGCAATCTGTCTCAAAACCTGCAGGAGCAGTCCTGGCTGTGAGGGCAGCACGGAGTGCCAGCAGGGAGGACGTGGCAAAGGACCGTGTAGTCAGCGCCAACAGGAATCCCCAGTGGGAACCGCTGGCGGCAGAATGGTACAGAGAAAGGTGGACTTCCAGAGGCAGAGTGCAGATTCCTTGTGACCCAAACTCCCCTTCCTTACAAAGGCAAGTTCCTAAAGAGCCAGGCCTGTCTGGAGAATGCTGCCTTCCCTTGCTTCTTTTTTTCTCACGCACTGGCCGTGCCTTCAACACACGTTCCTCTTTCTGTTTCCTGAAGTCAGCTTTCCACAGCTGACAACTTGCTCTCCAAATCACAGCACAGTTATTTCCGCATTTAACACCAGGGGCATTTGAAGAACTTCTTTAAACATGGTCTCCACAAATCAAAAATAGCAGTAAGAAAAAAAAACATGCAACTCTTCATATATATATCTGTAAGCATCTTCATATATAGATGTGCATATATATACGTGTTTATGAAGAGCTGGGTAGATTCAATGCCCAATTCCCTTCCTTTCCTTTCTCTCTCAGAATAAAATGGATTACAAATTTAATCTTTTTTTTTTCTCAGCTTCCACACCAAAAATTGATGGCGAACTGGAGGACCAGCATTGCTATGGTCTAAAATATACTGGGCTGCGGCAGACACGCCACCATTTCAGGATCCCTCACTGCAGGGGCTACCGATCTCTCCTTGCTCTACCCGCTATCTCTCCTCGCTAGGGCCATTGCAACACAGACACCAATATGGGGATGCTGCAAAATGGTGTTCATTGAAATTCAACAGTATCTTATATACCCTCCAGAGTCCAGTTTCTTCCTCAAGGCCAATGGACGCACTGTTCTAAGCACGTACCACAATGCTGAATGACTGCCATATGTGCTTATCATGAGACAGTCCAGCTGCCTGCACCGTGACAGCCCGAATCCCCAGTTAGTCGCCTAATAACAAACCCAACACTGGGCAGATGAAAAGTAACTGAGAAGTAATTTCTTCACAGTTCATCTTACAGAATTCTTCGTTCCTTTATTTTTACCTGGATGTATTTAATTCCAGGACTGGACAATAAGCTGTGAGCAGTAAATAGCTCTGCTCCTTCTTGCAGACACCTTTACAAAACCTTCATGTAGGTCAGCAAGGACAAGAAGGGTTGGAACACAGAACCCAGGCAAAAAGCCAAAGAGAAGAAAGCTCCCAAATGTCCATGTCTTTTCATACACAAACAGACAGCGAATTAAGGAGTACACCCTTCCCTCCCCTCCCTATTTTGCATATAACTTTCACCTCTAATGGAGTTTAGCAAAGTGCTAAATAAAAACTGAAGCAGGACCTTTGGATTCAGCACTTAGGAATGTGTTCTCTAAGAATACAAATTCAGGTGAAGATGCATCACAGGGGAACAGAGGAGGTTTTGCCTGTGCCTTCCTCATTTTCAGTTTGATGTGAAAGGTTTTTTTTCTGCCATGTGCTTGAGGAGGAAGAGCTTCTGCTGCACAGACTCCTCATTCATGTTCACAGCTACATCCTTTTCTCATTCAAACGATCTGCAATCATCTATTAAGGAAGGTAAATTTCTCCTGGATAAGTTCCAGAGACAAGGAGGTAACTGGCTTCCTCCCTTCCACACCAAGAGATTAAGTGAACTGATCAAAGGAAATATAGATTCTCTTTCAGAGACACAGAATATTTGTGTCCATTTAGCTCTTCCCATTCTGCCACTGCTTTGCAATGGAGCAATTCCTTCCAGCATCCTCAGCCTGAGCTTACAGCTTACACCACATCGGAGACTAAATCAGTGTCACCCTGTCAGGAGCATGGGAACACACAGCTTCTGCTCCACCGCATTCAGCAGCAACCAAGTATTTAAGCAGGCACAATTTGTCTCTTTTCCAGTATTAACAAGCATGTCCCCATCCCACATTTGGCTGCCTTTCTCCACAGTTCCTCCCCTTGCATGTGATTACAGCAATCCAACCAGTCGGACCGGATTCCCCTTTTCAAGGGACTGCACCTTCTCAATCCGCAGCCAGGAACATTTTTCCTTTTCTGTGTCTTTCCCCAAGCCCTGGAGAACAATGTCTCCCCGGGGACTGCGTGACATAAGGCTACCGACCGTGTCACCAGGGAATGCAGTGCCCAGCCTCTACTCCTGCGATCAGTTTACGATTAATCCGCGAGTGCACACACACAAATAATGCAGCCTGACACCAAGGGGAGAGCCCAGGACCTCAGAGCTGAGGAACAGAACCTCTGCCGCTTAACCTAAAGAGGCCCCTCTCTGCTCTAACAGGCAGGTTGTTTTACTGACTTGAACCAGCCACTGAATAGGGACATAATCCTCGCCTCCAACCCAGCATATTGACGTGAGTTCACAGGGTTACAATCACACTCAGGCAGCCCTGTGCTCTGCAAACATAGCACAGAACTCCCAAGTCACTACTGCCCTTCTGGAACACATTAAAGCAGAACAACTTGCAAGTAGATGGATGGTTCAGCTCAGCAGAAGCAATTTTTGCCTCCTCAACCACCTTCTTCCAGCTCCAGTGCAGTGATCTATTTGGAGTCTAGGGTTAGAATAGAAAGGGATGAAACACCTGGTGTCCATAATAGAATCATAGAATTGTTTGAGTTGGAGGGGACATTTGAAGGCCACCTGTTCCACTCCCTGCACTGAACAGGGACACCCACAGCTCCATCAGTGCTCAGAGCCCATCCAGCCTGACATGGGCATGTCCAAGGATGGGGCACCACCACCTTTCTGGCAACCCACGCCAGTGCTTCGTTACCCCTTACTGTAACAGACCTTCTCCTCATATTAAATCTAAATCTCCTTTCTTTTATTTTGAAACCATTTCCTCTGGTCCTATCACCACTGCTGCTAAAGAGCCTGTCCCCTTCATTCTTACAGCTCCTTTTAGGTACTGAAAGGCTGCTCTCAGGTCTCCCCAGAGCCTTGCTTCTCTCAAGTGGTTCTTTGCCACAAATTAACTGGTACTCTGGCAAGATGTAACCCATGAGGTGAGCTGAATCATTGTTAGGGTTTCCCAATTTGTCCACATCCCATTGGGCTAGAGCAGAAGCTGAGATGCTCTGATCACATGGAGACACTTAAGCTTAGGTATCTTAATATACAAGTTCAACCCTAGCCTCATTGTCTACCTACTAACCTGCATGTCAGCATAATAGCATCAAGTGTTAAGGTAAAGCAAAATGATGCTGTGTTTCTTAGATTAATGGGAGGAAGTATTGGCTTGCAGTATTGAGAACAGAGCAGAAAGGGAAGCTGAGAGGGAGTCCATCAGGACATCTGCCCCAGGTGCAATATAGAATAGCAGCTAGAAGAAAACAAAAAGAAACTGAGAAATTGTAATGCTTTCCCAGAAGTATTTCAACTGAAAGACAGCAGCGCAGCTTATCTTTTGTATGTATCTGGAAAGCATTTGGGTAAAGCATGATGATAGAAATTCACCACAAATGCCTCCAGCAAGATCAAAGCCTGCAAATGCTCAGCCCTGGGAACAGCTATGTAGGACAGCCTATCTGCTGCACTACCACTGCTTCCCCTCTGTGCAGCAGTTATACCTTGATGAGTTCAGTGCAATGTGAGACAGCCAAGAGCCTGTAGAGGGTCCCACTGTTTTTGTTCAATAGGGCAGGTGGCAGCACAGCCGGTCCTACACCCTTTGGGGCTGCTCAGCCATGCAGAAACAGAGAGAAGAAATCCCTTCGGGTCACCTAGTTCATTGCTTCTCAGTCTTAAGGACCACAGCAGCCTGGGAGACATTAGCTTAAAAAGGTTGAGAAACTCTTAGTTCAGCTCCTAGTGCAAGGAAGATAATCCTGACAAATATTTGTCTAACCTGTCCTCAAAAGACTCCTCCAGTGGAGGTTTCCACCCCTTAGCCTCCAAGGCAAGCTATTGCAGCAGTGAATTAGCTCTAAATTTTGCTGGTGTCTCAATTGTATCTCCATAATTGAGATACAAGCCCATTATTTCTTATCCTATCCAACGTAAATACAGAGATCATACTCTTCTTTTTCGTGTGCTTTAATCTGTTATTGTAAAGATAACCTTTACAATACCTGCACCTTTTCTCCATCCTCCCTAGAGTAAACAGACCATTTTCAAGTTTCCTGGACCTGAGGCCATTCTCAGAAGCACCTCCACCTGGTGCTCACCTTTCTCAGTATGCATGGTACAACACTGGCAATGGCTCTGCCTTTCAGACAGCTCTTTGGGATATTTCCCCATTTTATCATTATAAGACAGTCATATTCATAATTCCCTATATATTTTATACAGAGTTGCAGCATACTTTGGTTTTCTTGTATCTGCAGTTTTCATGAACATCATTCTTACTCATAACGCTTTCCATTTGTCCCTATCAAACTGCAGAACTTTTCATTTTCATTTCTAATCATTTCTAAGTTCATCATTTCTAAGTTCATGAAATCACTCCCAGCCTGATGGCATCTGTAAATGAGTATGTACTTCCCATTCCTCACCCAGATATCACCAAAAATGAACAGTGCTGAACTCAGGATGGACTTCAGCCCTCCAGTTTCATAACAAGCCATTTGTAACTATGCTGAATGTGGAATTCCCAGCCATAGAAAGCCAATCTCCAGCAGTTTCATCTAGTCTGTACTTCCTGAGTGCACCCTGAGAGGATTGTGTGAATCAGTGTAAAAAGTCCTGCCAAAGCACTGTGGTTTCTTGATAAAGTTTCTCCCGAACCCAAGCTGCCCTAGGCTTTGCATACAACATAATGCCAAAGGCTTTGAAAGGAGCTAAGAACAGCTTTTGTGCTTTCCACGCCCTTTTCATTGCTATGATGGATGACAGAAGCACAGGGAGAATTAACTCCAAAGGAGCATGGTGAGAAGTACTGACCAAGTGCCAGATGGGGGTCAGGTATTCAACCTTTCAGAAGATGATTCAGCACTTGTGTTGTGTTTAGGGAAGATTATTTCCAGATTTTGGCTCTTTCAATAGAGGTTCCAACAACATTTTTTACCAGCATATATACCATAGGCATTTTAAAACACCCATCAGTTTGCAAGAAACAGATTTGAAGTTTGTGAGTTACTGACTTTCATGTTAAAAGGTGAACAAGCATCCAATTATTGTGTTTTCTTGATTTTTTGTTAAAACCCTTGTTATCAAAAGGCACACAAATAACAAGGTGTGGACAATGTATTTCCTATAAAGATGAATAATCTGTATGAACTTAAAATCAAAATGCTTGTCTGTAAGAAACAGTTTACATGCAAAAAGCTTTCACACAAGTGCCCCATTAGGCATAAAGAATAAGCATCACAGTTCACACAAAGTTATTGTGCAAATATCCTTTCTCAAAGAGCATTATTTCTACATGTCATTTTAGCCTGAGTACCATACGCAACCATGTACCTGGTTCTGTGGTTCCACTTATAAAGATGTGCAAAGGGCTCAGCCACACAGTCACTGCTTTAATACATCCACTCATTTACTGCAATAAAATCACTGAGTCTGTATTCCCCTTTGCACAGGAGACGAGCAGATTACAGCTACTTTCCCATAATTATATAGGTTTTTACTCATGAAAGAGTAATGACAATGTGACATTTCAGGTGTTGCAGATACTCTGCCATTGCATGCTGTGCCATCTGCTTCCAGGGTAAGTCACTTACAGTTGCATTCCTTTACAGCTGCCAGCTATGACTGCCTTCATAGGCTACAGAAGCAGGCATCTCTAGAGAGCTGCTCTTTCATCCTACATTAAGTGAGATGAATTACCCTCTGGAAGCACTGCTTTCCTTCTGTTGACTGTACACTGAGCCTACGATGACCAGACCAGTCAGGCTGAAATCCCTTTGTTTCACTCATACACACTTGGCCAGAGAAACCCTATCCTGAATGCCTATCTTACAGTGATCTCTGGCTGTGGCAGAAAATTCTGTTTTAAGTCTCTGTATACCTCATTTTTTTAACGAAAAATAGGATGACAGCACTTTCCTGACTCATACACAAGTTATGAAGATATTGATGGCATGATACTGTGAGATGGTCAGCGATTACAGCATCAGGAGCCCTGTGTGTGCTCTTTGTAGATATCGTGTCATTTACTACCAGCTTTAAAGACTTTCTATCAGGCAAAGGCAATACCTGAACACCCAGCATCCTCTCTGAAGACTTCACAGAGTTTTCTGAGGGCTTCTTATCTTATTACAGAAAATTTTGAGAAAAGAATGTAATTTCCCAAGTTCAAAACTTACAAAAATAAGGCACCTTTGCCTTCATCAAAAGTTGAAGTTCACTTTCATGTATCTTTAAGGAAAACGAACCCCTTTTTCAAAGTAGGATGTTATACATTCCCCTTACAGTAATCTCCTGATAAGTTCAGAAGCCTAACTGTATTTAAATATATATAAAAGGAAAAGTTTACCCATTTTCTGAACAGGGCTCTTCTTTCTTCAAATACCTGTAAAAAATACACACACAATTAAAAATGAATACTGTAAGGGGATTCAGTATCTGCTAAGAAAAAACATAGCTTGAAAAAACCAAACAAGCTATGAAACCTGGAAAATAGAAACAGCATCACAAAATGGGTGAAGTTGGAAGGAACTTAAGGAGAATGGTTAAATCCCAAGTCCCTGCTAGGGTCAGCTAAAGTATGTTGCTTAGGGCCACATCCAACTGGATTTTGAATATCTTCTTAGATGAAAACCCTGCAGTCTCTCTGAGTAACTTGTGTGTGACCACTCTCATGGTAAAAATGTTTTTTCCTATGGTCACTGGAATTTCCTGCCTTTCAGTTTGTGGCCATTGTCTCTTGGCATTTCCCTGGAAGCTACCAAGAAAAGTCTGGCTCTGTGTTCTTTACCTCCTTCCATCAGGTATCCAAATACACTGACAAGGCCTGTATCTGAGCCTTTCTTCTCCAGGCTGAACAATGCCATAACTCTCAACTCTTCCCTATGTGTCAGATGCTCCGATTTCCTGATCCTTTCTGTGATATTTCACTGGGCTTATTCCAATAAGTCTTTGTCTTTCTTGTATGGGGAGTCCAGAATCGGACACATCCCCAACCAATCCTTCCTTGTTTGTAAGAATGAGGACCAGCAGAGCATCTTCCCTTGTTGGCTCCTTGATGACCTGTGTCATCAAAGCACTCCTGAAACCTCCTGGGTTGCTTGTGTTGCCCTTCATAGATCTTTATTTACTTTTTTCAGTAGATTTCAGTTCTCCTGAGTTGGAGAAACTGGGTAATGGAATGGATACAACGTGGGTAGCTATCATAGAGCTCTGGCTGTGGCTTACTAAGGCCAGTTGTTGTGGCTCATGCTGTCCCTAGGTTCTTTACAGTGACAACTAACAAGATGGATGAATGGTATCAAAATACAGCAGAGGATTTGTGATGTTGACCTTCATCCTTAGGGAGCTAGATATGAAAGCACTAGCACGTGGCTTTCCACTTCTACAAAACTGCCTTTATGCTCAGGACTATGACCTTGCAAGTGAGGAAATGCTACAGATGTATTGCTTCTTTTTTTTTTTTCTCCAGAAGACAGATCAAGGAAAAAGCCCAGTTTATAACTGTGCACAAAAACAGCTATTAACCACAACTAGGAAAACATGTTTGATCATTATAAACTCCAAAAATGTTATTGCTTTGACAGCCTGCAAAGAAGGTTCATGCAGAGAAAGACATTATCAGTGCTGATGTCTGGTACAGCAGTTGTCAGCATCAGCTCTGTCTCTCTCAGCAGGAGTGTCTCCTGTGAGGAGTGAAAAGTGACATTTCTTTTATTTGCATGTTGACAGTTATTATTTGCTTTATTTGCATGTGGGACACTTGGCAAAGTGAAAAAAATACAAAAGCTGAACAAGCTGAACTTGGAAAGGGATTTGCCACAAGCAAATGATGAATAGTCAAAGATCTAAGTTTTGAGATGGATAATTCAAGTGAGGCAGGGAGCTATTTATGTAACTGAATGCAATTTAATGGTCTTTGATCAAAGAAAGACACATATTTGCTTTCAGCATTTTTGGAGATACAACTAAGCCAACTCTGTTAGAAAGTTCTGCCTACTCCAGGCACTTGGAAGCATTAATCAGCAATAGAATAGCCCCAGATTGGTATAATCATCCTCCGAGTCAATCAGATCCATTTTTACTGTTTCCTCCTCCAAGGCCTTCAAGTTACACCTATCTCCTACCTAGGTTGGCTGGCCTAGGATTCAGCTCAAAGCCGAGGTTGCTCCTGAGAACTGCCATCTCACATCTGTGTTCTTAGGTAGATATAAATAAGCTCAAGTTCAGGGCTGTCTGGCAAATCCCTCCAGTCTTTGCTGCAAATGCCACTGAGGCTCTTCTGTCCCACTGCATAATTCTGACTAACTGAAGGCAAATACTCTCTCGACTTCCAGTCCTTCCTTAAATGCAGATCCTCCTCTGGTTTTCTGAGTGTGAATACTGCTTAATATTACTAACTCTGGCTTCTTTACTTTGGTTTGTTCCTGCTGGAGATTGTGGATTTAAAACAGATGTCTGCCCATGACCCAGTGTAACACTACGGGCAAGATCTGACAGCTGCAGTGAAGGCAGAAAAATATAGATGGAGAACAAGACTCAGGATATACAGCAAGCAGGAGACATCTTGGGTCCTGACATCAATGCAGACAAGTGTGCTCCTGAGCATATTTGAAAACCTAGGGAAATCTGCAGGAACCACTGAAGCAGCATCCCCTGGATTAACCCAAATTAGATAGGTGGCAAGTTTACACTAACTGCTGTGAACCTGCTCCTAGCAGTTGTTTAGATGGAGCTTAAATGCTATTGACCAGCTCTAAATTCTCACCATTCCTGCCCCTCACTGCCAATTCATCTAAGAAGTATTTTTCTTCGGCACCTCTTCTCTCTCTGTTTTTATCTTCTCACTGTTTTTCACATACCTTCTTTCTATAAGCTCTTTACTTTTTCAGACTTCGTCTTCACTCAAAAGTGCAGAAATGAACAGAGATAGGATGGTAAAATAAAATAGGATGGGAAAATAAAACCTTCTCTCACCTTATATATATCAATTGGATTATCTCCCAATTTCACCTGTTGGCAATATTTTTGTTGCAACTATTTGTTTTCTTCTAACTCTGCAGAGCCAGCACTGAGAGCTGTGTAGGGATAAATGAAAGAGTTTCAAACCTGGATCAGAAGCAAATACTTTGTATAATGAATTTAATCACTGATCACAGGTCTGGGAGATAGGAGGTAGGTTCTCTCCTACCCAGAACAACAACATTCAGATGTTGGAGGATGACAGAAAGACTGCTGATGTTGTCTACCTAGACTTCAACAAAGCCTTTGACACTGTCTCCCACAGTATTATCCTGGAGAAGCTGCAGCCCATGTCTGGGACAAGTACACTCTTTGCTGGGTAAGGAACTGGCTGGAGGGCTGGGCCCAAAGCATGGAGATGAATGGAGTGACACCCAACTGGCGGCCGGTCACAAGTGCTGCTCTCCTGGGGTCACTACTGGGAATTGTTCTGTTCATTATTTTTAAAGATGATTTGGATGAGGGAATTGAGTGTGCCCTCAGTAAGTTTGCAAATGATACCAAGCTTGGAGGAAATATCGATCTGCCTGAGGGTAGGAAGGCCCTACAGAGGACAGGCTGGATAGCTGGGCTCAGGCCAATGGGATGAAGTTCAACAAGACCAAGTGCCAGGTCCTGCACTTTGGCCACAACAACCCCAGGCAATGCTACAGGCTTGGGGCAGAGTGGCTGGAAGACTGTGCAGAGAAAAAGGATCTGAGGGTGTCTGTTGACACTTGGCTGAGAAAGACAAGACAGTGAGGCCCTGGAGGCAATGCAGCAGGAGCACAAGTGTTATGGGGAGCAGCTGAGGAAATTGTCATTTTTCAGTATGGAGAAGAGGAGGCTCAGGAGAGACCTCACCACTCCCTACAACTGCCTGAAAGAAGGTTGTAGTGAGATGGGCTTCAGCCTCTTCTTCGGGTAACTAGCAAAGAGAAAAGAAGTGATGGTGTCAGGTTGAACCAGGGATAGTTCAAGTTGGATATAAGGAAGCATTTCTGCCCTAAAAGAGTGTTGAGGCATTGAAGCGGTTTGTCCAGCGTGGAGTCACCATCCCTGGAGGTGTTTAAGGAAAGGACAGATGTGGTGATTAGGAACATGGTGTAATGGGCAATACTGGTGGGCAGCTGGACTAGATGATCTTTGAGGTCTTTCCCAACCTTGGTGATTCTACAATTCTATGATTCTAAGGGCGAGAGTACAAAATAGTCTAATATTAGCTCCTACGAGATTTGCTGCAGCACAATGCAACACCACAATGCCTAAAGAGTGGAGGATAAAAAGATGAGAAAGGGCTTTTTTTACCCACTCACTGCTAGTCAGATTGCACTTTATTACCTAGTGATGTGTGTCTGTAAAAATGTGTTATAAAGAGTGTAGGAAGCAGACATTAAAATGATGCAAAGGCTGGAGAATCTGCCAAACTGAAAGAACTTCAAAGGGCTCAATCTGTTTAGTTTATCAAAAAAAAAGATCAAGTGTTGGCTTGAAGCAGAGTAAAAGTACTTCCACAATTTAAAAAAAAAACACACAACCTCATTACAAAAGAGTTTAATAAGCTAGCAGAAGAAGATTTAGATGATGGAAGCTAATGCTAGAGGTATTCAGACAAGAGACAAGGTTTAATCTTTTAATGGTATAGAGGATTAGCCAAGAGAAAAAAATTGTTAGCAAAGTGATGAAATTTTCATTTCTTGATAATCCCTAAGGAAGTCTATATGCTTTTGTGGAAGATACATCATAGCCAAATTCTGGTTACTGAGCTGAGGACACAGAGAGGTGTGTGAAACGAGGGCCTGAGAAATCCAGGCAGTCGCACTGAGTAACGTCATGGCCCACTCTGGATTAAATTCAATGAATCATCAGCAGATATATTAACTGAACTCTGAGGGAGGAATGCTGTCCTGATGATGCATGAGATAAAAAAAAATACCTTCCTTGCGTTAGCAGATCCCAGATTTAGCCTGCAGAGTGGGAGACCAGGAAATGCATCTTGTTATTTATAAATTGAGTGCATCACTTCAGTTAACAAAATATCAGCCCCATCTCAGCGTGGCCAGGCTCAGCAAAGGAGTCAGGGTGTGGGTACCAAGGTCTCTCCTGCAAATTGTGGTGGAGCACTGGCCACTCAGAAACACTGACACTGGGTTTGCTCTGGGGCTAAGTCTTCTAAGGCAGAAAAAGAATGGCTTTCACTAAGAAATGAATACATATTCTTTGTTTAAAAATGGTTTACTTGTCAAAATAAGAATACTTCAACTAAATGCTTATATGCTTTAAGCAATATACATTAGAACTTTACATATCATAGTAGGTTTTATACACGTGAATATATCATAAAGACTGTGTATTCCATATATACACATTTATTCCTAATATTAAACAAGTTACTAAAGTTCTGATCCATTACTCATGATTTACACAGCCAAAAGGATAAGTCAATTTTTTCTGAGACTTGAGAATTGGTGAAATGAAACTGAGAATTTGCTTTAAGGCTTGTGAATATTCAAAACCTGACTGGACAAGATCACGAGCGAACCCTCTAGCTGACTTTGTCTTGAAGAGTTGGACTCAATCACCAGAAGTCCTCTCCAAACTCACCAGCTCTGTGATTCCACGCATCTGACCCATTTGCACAGAACTCACCTGCTCGTTCATGGCTGGGTTGCTCAGAGGTGTCCACGAGCTCATCTTGATTTGTAGCTTGGGGCTGTTCATGTTCTTAGAAGTCCCAAATGCCATTGGTAGGTGAGATGGTGAATCTACCAATGTCCTGTAAGCACCAACCCCTACAACCATTGAACAGAACAAAGACCAGCATTACCCTTGCGCTACTCCATTACTGTATGCTAGTGAAAAACCAATCACAAAACAAATTGCAGATTGCAATTCAGTGACTTCAAAGCACAGCAGTGATACAAGTAAAACTACCTGAAGGTCAGTTAGGGTAAGGCCTTCTTTTTATTTTGGGCACTCATAGTAACTTGACAGCAAAGCCCAGATTTCCTGATGGAAACCTCTGTGTGCTAATATGATATCAATAATTAATAATTAAGCAAGTCTTTCCCATCACAAAAGTTATTGAATGTGCCTTTGATTTTTGCTGTATAAGTAATCACAGGAGGCTATTTGCAGCGAGCTAGAAAACACATAACATTTCTTCCCATTTGCTGGCACTGAAAACTGGAGATTGCCTGTGCATCTACTTAAGTGACATCAGACAGATTTTTGCTGATTCTGATGGGCATGTAATGCCAGGCTTCAAAGGGCCAATTTGTTTCCATCACACTTAACTGAAAGAATGAAATCCAGAATGATCCAGAATCAAGTGAAATTTCTCAGCATCCTGTCTTCAGGCAGATTGGTTTTGATGGTTTGTATTGACTGTGCTGCTCTTTGAAACAAAACAATCCTACCTGAAGTAAATAGGGCATTTAACACAATTTCCCCTTCCGTTTTGTGAAATCCAATAACTGGACTTTGGTCAGAAAATCCATTTCTTCATAGACCTTTGCCCCAAAACAGGAAAAGCTTTCTTTTTTCCTTCATCCTCTGTACCACAGACGGATTCAGCAGGATAATGTCATTGCTCACCTCAGAGATCCCATTTCCAGATTGGAGCTGCCTGAAAACCAAGTCATTTCTTTCCAACTAACATTACAAAAAATATATCTCTATTTCTTTCATACAGTTATTAGGTAATCATTCTGCAAGCACTTCAGACTGCTTAAAAGGTTCATGGTGGCAAGATGGACTTTAGGAATGAAAGAAAAGGAAACTCAGCACTGAGTGACTCCAACGTTGTGTTTCCAGCCTACTGCGTATCCAAGCACCTCCAACTCCATACAACACACACCTTTATAGCTACTACAGCTCTAAGGCTCACAAAATACATCTCCCTGGAAGCTCAGTCTTTCTTTCCTTACCCAGACAAAGTTCCCATCTATATTAATGGGAGATTAATCTTCAAAACCCCACTGCAGGAGCTGTCTGGGCACTCCACCATTTTGGATCAGTTTTTCCTCCCCCCTTTTTTTTTTCTCCTAAATTCTTTTGGAATCAAAATCTCAAGAAAAAGTGAAAAATCTGCTATATCTATCTGCCTCTGGTGATGTAATATTGTCCACAGTAAGAAAATAAGTTCCTACCAAGAGTCTGAGTTCTGTCTTTTGGTAAAGATGCTGAAATAACTTATGATAGGCCCAGGAATTTTAACTTCTCACAGAGAAGCTTTTAAAAGCTAAAAGACTTACAAAGGCTTCAAATCCTCACATTCTGTAGTTGGCAAACATTAGAAGCTTCTTGTGCAACTCACTAGTTGCATTATGGATGTGCATTACAATCACTTTCTGTGTTGTTGTTTTGTTTTTCTACACAGCCCCTGCCCTTTTCAACACACAGAAATACAACATTACGAGCTAGAAAAATAGCTGCTCTGCCAAAAAAACAGGTTCTGGCAACTGTGTCCTGTTTTTCAGGGACAACTTTCTACATTAGTCACAAAACCATCAGTTGTCACTGCAGCACACTCCCAGGCCAGGATTCATGTTCCAGTTTGCCTCCCCAATGCAGGCAGTGCTTTCTTGGTGTTGGAACAGCTGCAATTCAGAAAACAGCTCAGTGAGCTGGCACACGAACAGCCCCATAGCTCACAGAAGCAGTAGTGCCTCTGGACCCTCTCGTGCTGCTTATGTGCCAAAACTGTGGCTCCCAACACAACTGGCTGAAGTCACATCCCCTGCTGCATATGCCATAAGCCTGTTTGTTTGAATTGCAGTTGGTACTCGAGCCCAGTGTGTAAACAGGCCTGCAAAGGCAGGTAGCATCAGGCAGAAAGATGAGCATAGCCAAATGGATAACCTATTAGTGCACAGCGTGCTAGCACGCTATCCCTCTCTCCTTCTGTCTGCTCTCCAGAGGAAAACCAGTAGCTCTTGTCTTCACCCTGAACCCCCCCAGCCCTAGCAGGATTAACAGCAAATCCTGCTTCTCCGACTGTGTGGGGTAACTCTGAGCAGAGTTAATCTGTGACACGATGCTGAGGTGGCTGCAGCAGTGGCTCACTGAGCACAGCAGAGCAGCTGGTGCACTGTGCAGACCTGTGCTTGTCAAGCTGTTTAGCTCAGGCCCCATGTTCCTTCTGCAGTATTTGTTATCTTTGGACAAGTTGCCCAAAGTAACATTCCTGAGATTGCTCTAGCTTGTTCTTCACGTATCCTGGGATGAAATTAATCATCATCAGCTGATTCGGAGATGTCCAACCAGCAACAGATGTGAGATGATGTTAAGAAGAAATTGAGCTTTAAATATATGTATGGAAAACATTCATTGCCCAGAGAGGGGCAGCTACTGACACGTGATGCTAAAAATATAGAATATCCTAACAAGAAAACTAAAAAGGCAAGTGAGGAGTGGCAGGTGTAGGCACCAGTGCAAATGAGACTTGAGGGCAAAAGCCTGGCAAAGGATGAAGTTGTGTGAGTATACACAGTGTTTGCATGCTGGCTGTGTCTGACTAACTTCACACCATGATGCTTGGGGATCTCCAGCTGTTGCAAAGTAATGGTGCTGCACAATTTGCAGAAAGCAGGTAAACCTGGCAGAGCACAAATGTTAAAAAGGGAGAAGAGCAGCAGAACTGTGCACTGGACACCTTATCTCCAGCTCCTGAAAGAAAACTTCTGAAGCAAATAATTTAACTACACCTCTGGGTGATAAGGAGGGCCCAAGATTCAACCTTTATCTGTCAAGAAGAAACAGTGTAAATCAATCTGGTCTTCTACAGTGGGATAACAAACCCTGAGAGCACTGAAATTAATGATTTATCTTAATTTCTTTAAAGCTTTTGACAAGAACTGAGTGCAGCCCTGCTGAAAAGGACTCATGGGTATCAGTGGATGGCAGCTGGACACGAGCCAGCCCTTAAGGGTCCCTTCAAACTCAAAAGATTCTATTATTCTATGATATGACTTACTGTCCTCACGAGCACGCAAAGAAAACTTGATGATACTTCTGCCTGGGTTACTACAGCCAGAGAGGACCTAGGAATGGTTCAAGTGCATTTTAACCAAGGTTTGAATAAATTGAGAGGGCATCCAAGAGGTTTGTGCTTTTTGTTATGTCTGGAGGCGGCATATATGAGTTTCATAGGGAAGAGAACATAAGAGGCATTGTCTAATATAGCAAAATAGTTCAACAACTGATCAGAATCCTGCTGAAGCCAACAGAAATGCTTTCACTGATTTCACTACAAGTTGAGTCAAGCCCTCTATTTAAAAAAGCATGATTGTACTGAGGAAAGATTAGCCATACATAATGATCATATCATATTTACTAATGGCATTGGAATCATTCCCTGTAGCTGGATTAACCCTATAGAATGGCATTCCAGAGGTTTGTACAAACCATACTCAAAACAAGTCCTTCAGAAGCAGACCCATTTTAGTAATGTTTTTGACCACATCTCTATAGCAATAAGCCCTTGTGGTTCAATACAGCCTGCTGCACTCAGAGGTTTAAGAATGCCTTTTCCAGAGAAAGAAACTAATCACATTAATTGATGTGATGACAATGGTGCAGTTGTATTTTGCTTTGAATAAACAGATTTATGCATGAATCTAAAGCTCAGACAAGTAAATCATTTTTAATGTAAATTAGTTTATCACCAATAAACAATGCACTGATTAATGCCATGGACAAAGCAGTCTAAAAGGCAGTAACAGAAAAGTGAGCTGGAATACAGGCCAAACTACAGGGCTTTCAGCACAGAAAAAAAATCAAGATGATAGGCCTGGAGGGAAGAGGTAAAGAGAAACAGGTTCTTGTGTGAGGGGGACACAGAGAGAGATGGCAAGAGGAGATGGCAGCAGGCTAACTGCTTATTTGCAATGATTTACGAATGATTTACAACGAAGAGGCCAACAATGTTCTCCTTGACCAGCCCTAGCTTCCAGGGTCACTGCGGTGCCAATGGTTTGGGATCAATAAACCCAGAGCATGGCACTGCCACAGTACTGATAAACCTAGACATGTGCAGCACCTCCTGCCACTGACATTTCTGCTCCTCCCCACCTCAACACCTCAAGACTAACACCCTTACCCCTGCCAGAGTGTACCAGAAATATCCAAAAACCAAGGCTTGAGTAACCCTGCAATTCCCAGGCATTAAGCAGTTGAATTTCTCCATGGTCCACGATGCCCGTTGAGCCATCAGTACCTCCATATCCCATACCAGAAGCACCTCCACTGACTCACAGACCCCAACTCCCTTGTGCTCCTCTGTGCCATTGCCAGCAAGCTTGCTGCATTGCTTTAACTTCCATCCCCACTCCCTTTCTCCCCATTCATACCAAAGGACTGGTACCTTTCCTGGTCTCCAGTCTTCCAATAAGCTCAGCGATTTCCCCGTACTGCTGGCGTCTGTACCTGACTGCTTCTCTCTTTGTCTACATCACAGAGGTCATAGAATGACATAAACATTTGAGTTGGAAGGGACCCTCAAGGGCCATCTAGTCCAAATCCTTTGCAATAAACTGGGACACCTACAGCTCCATCAGACACTCAGAGCCCTGTCCAGTCTGACCTGGGTGTCTCCAGGGATGGGGCACCCTCATAAGCCTGGGCAACCTGTGCCTGTGCTTCATCACCCTTCTTTAAAAAAAATCATTAAGATTCTCACACTCAATCTAAATCTTTCTTCTTTTAGTTTGAAACCATTTCTTCTTCTCCTATCACAACAGACC